GTCCCAATTCTAACAACTCTAAAGTTATGTGACCTTAAAAGTCAACCTCTCTGACCATGAGTTTCCTTATCTTAATGACAGGTTGTTTTACTTAGCTCAAAGGGTTGTTATAAGAACCAAATGGGATTGTGTAAAAAAATACACATTAAAAAACTCTATAAAATTATTTCTAAATATTAAATATTTAATAAATATTAAAAATTTCTAAATTCTAGCTGAACCACAACAGTTTATAAGAAAATAACCTATAGACTTTAGTAAGTTCAGGATGATCCTAAAAATAATATGGCTGTTAAAAAACAAAAGCAATCTTTGGACAAATTAATAGAATGAACAGTCTTGCAAAAAATAACAGACCCATGGTGTTCTACATTAAATAGCCTCCTTCTGGAGTATTATATTCAGCTTTAAGAAGTTTATTTTGAGAGAAACCAAGAAACTGGAAATGTTATCTAGGGGTGACAGCAACAGGAATAACAAAGGTCTTCTCAAATGAAGACTAGTTAAAATTTGGAATGCTGACTTGAAAAAAATGAGAAAGGATAAATGAGAAAAATCTTGAAAGAGTTAGCCTTCCTTTGTGTTGCTGCAGAAGACAAATAAGAATAGTGGTAAAAGTTATAAAGACAAAGATGTCATAAGGAAAAATAACAACAGTATTCTGTGATAAGAATGAACCACTTTCTAAAATGACATGTGTTCAATCCCCACCCTGTATGTTCAAACATAAAAGCTAAATGAGCATCAGGTACAGATGCTACATTGCATAGGTTAGATTTAACACAGGACTTATGAAATCCCTTTCAAATTTAAGATTCAGAAGACTACCAGAAATGGCAGGTGACTGAAGCAGACGGTGACAAAGGAAGTATCCTATCCTGGTGTCGTAAGAAATAAGGTTACAGAAAATGAGAAAATATGGGAAACACCAGCTCTCATTATAGCTAGCACAGCTATTTATAAATAAACCACAATGCTGTCACTGTCACTCTGCCAATTTTTTGAGGCCTCAACTCCTAATTCCCTTCTGCCAAATATTATAATTTAAGAGCCCTGTAAACCCTTAGAAACGCTGTCAAGAAAACTACTTTCTTTTTAATTACCTTCAACTAAGCAAGTCATTACACTTCCTGACACCCAACATCGGTGCAAAACCAAAAAGAGAAATTATGATTTGTCTTTTATTACATTTTTTTAAATTAAGACTTTGTAGTTTCAGGTTTATGGAAAAACTGAGCAAAAAGTACACAGTTCCCATATATCTTTACCCCATGCACGTATACTATGTCACTTCAGTCATGTCCAACCCTTTGAGACCCTATGGACTGTAGCCAGTCAGGCTCCTCTGTCCATGGGATTCTCCAGGCAAGAATACTGGAGAGGGTTGCCATCTCCTCCTCCAGGGGATCTTCCCGATCCCAGGACTGAACACGAGTCTCTGGTCTCCTGTCAAGAGGGTTCTTTATCACTAGTGCCACGCCACAACCTTCCCCCATCTTTAGGTTACTGCTTTGTGCTATGCTTAGTCCTTCAGTCACGTCCAACTCTTTGCAGCCCCGTGGACTGCAGCCCGCCAGGCTCCTCTGTCCATGGGGATTCTCCAGGCAAGAATACTGGAATGGGTTGCCTGTCTCTTCTCCAAAGGGCCTTCCAGACCCAGGAGTTGGACCAGGGTCTCCTGCACTGCAGGCAGGTTCTTTCCCAGCTGAGACACCAGGGACGCCTTCAGTGTATTTCTTACAATTGACGAGCCAATATTATTACCAAAAGTGTATTATTCTACATTAGGGCTCACTTTGTGCAATATGTTCTACAGTTTGGAGCTTTTTTAAAACAACTTTTTAAACTGTGGTTAGATACACATACAATTTATAATCTTAAGCATTTTTCAGTGTATAGTTCAGTAATGTGAGTTACACTCCCACTATTGTGCAATGAATCTCCAGAACTCTTCACCTTAGAAAACAGAAACTCTATACCCACTGAACAATGTTACTTTTTTCTTAAGCTCAATACTTACTACAATAAAACAATTTTAAAATCTAATTCTTCAGTATACTTTTCTCAACTTTTCCTGTAATCTAAAATCCCAATATGCCATATTAATATACCCAACAGCTATAAAAATGTCAATTTTATTGAAATATCAATAACCTCAGATATGCAGATGATACCACCCTTATGGCAGAAAGTGAAGAAGAACTAAAGAGCCTCTTGATGAAAGTGAAAGAGGAGAGTGAAAAAGTTGGCTTAAAACTCAACATTCAGAAAACAAAATCATGGTATCTGGTCCCATCACTTCATGGGAAATAGATGGGGAAACAGTGGCTGACTTTATTCTTCTGGGTTCCAAAATCACTGCAGATGGTGATTGCAGCCATGAAATTAAAAGACACTTGCTCCTTGGAAGGAAAGTTATGACCAACCTAGACAGCATATTAAAAAGCAGAGACATTACTTTGTCAACAAAGGTCTGTCTCGTCAAGGCTATGGTTTTTCCAGTGGTCATGTATGGATGTGAGAGTTGGACTATAAAGAAAGCTGAGCGCTGAAGAATTGATGCTTTTGAACTGTGGTGTTGGAGAAGACTGTTGAGAGTCCCTTGGACTGCAAGGAGATCCAACCAGTCCATCCTAAAGGAGATGAGTCCTGGGTGTTCATTGGAAGGACTGATGTTGAAGCTGAAACTCCAAAACTTTGGCCACCTGATGCGAAGAGCTGACTCACTGGAACAGACCCTGATGCTGGGCAAGATTGAGGGCAGGAGGAGAAGGGGACGACAGAGGATGAGATGGTTGGATGGCATCACCAACTTGATGGACATGGTTTTTGGGTGGACTCCGGGAGTTGGTGATGGACAGGGAGGCCTGGCGTGCTGCGGTTCATGGGGTTGCAAAGAGTCGGACACGACTGAGCGACTGAACTGACTGAATACAATAAAAACTAAGATTCACTATCAAAACTACATATTCACCCAAAAATATCATTTATACTGTGCTCTAGTGAGAGGTAGGGATATAACTAAGCAATATGTTAAATCAATATCTAATATTCACAACATTTTCTCTAATCATATCAAAATATTGTGATACGTTCTAAACACAACAGAAATAATTTTTTCAGCACATACATGTAAATTCAAATGCTTCAATCGATTTTTATTTGTGGGAAGATAAGAGGAGACTAGAAAAAATAATCCAGTTAACAGACGGCCACAGATACAAGACAGAGAAATTAACACTAGGTATCCCAGCTTATTTTGTCAGCAAAATGAGGAGTTTTCCTGGAAGAATAAAATCCAATCGAAATTAATTGAAAAGACGACTTCATCATTCCAAATTTTGCTTAATAGTTATTCTGTAAATCCTTAATTCAGTCACATTTAGTCACTCTCTGGGTCAATTCTCCAGTACAAATGCTGTACATTCATCCTTTCCACTAGCTTTCAGTCATGTCCTGTGTGTGCATGCTATGTCGCTTCAGTCTTGCTCAACTCTTTGTGACTCTGTGAACCACAGCCAGCCAGGCTCCCCTATCCATGGGATTCTCCAGACAAGAATACTGGAGTGGGTTGCTGTGCCCTCCTCCAGGGGGTCTTCCCAACCCAGGGATCAAACTCGCGCCTCTCCTATATTGGCACATGGGTTCTTCACCACTAGCGCTACCGGGGAAGCTTTCAGTCACTTCCTCGGTCTAATTCCATAATCCTTTTCTCAAAGTCCTTTCTCACTAATCTAAAATATAAAGAATGATTAGTACAAGAGGCACCTATTAGCCTCTCCAATTACCTTATCTTCAAAATCAAAAAACACACTCACTTCCATCATTTAACATGCTGTGCCTCCGTTTCTTCATCTGCCAAATAAGGATAAGTGTCTGGCACTCTATGAGTGGCACATGGTAGCTGGTGAATTACTGAATGAAAGAATGAGTAACTCATAAAGTTGTTAAACGTTAAATGAAGCAATGTATGTAAAGTACTTAGCACACTGCCAGGCACACTGTGCCACCATTATAATCTTCGATGCATCCCCACTGCCCACAGATTCCAATTTAAGCCCTTCTGTCCTGTTTTTAAAAGAAGCCTTATTATATGAGTCTTATTGTGTCTCACCAATTTATGCTCCAAACAAGCATTTGCACTAAAATCAAATCATTTTCTCTTTTCCACAAAGAAGCCAAGCTTATTTCTAAAGTCTGAGACCTTCATTTAAAACTACCCTCTCCCTGGAACATCTTTCATCTTCACTTACCCAGCCAAATAGCAAATCCTTGAGTTCACATTCCCTCTTGCTCAGGAAGCACTTCCCAACCATTCCTGCTTTTACTCATTTCTCCTTTTATCTAAAACCCTCATATTCATATTTATAATTTTGTATTATGTGCTGTCTACTTTCTCTGAATGATCTGCAAGTTACACTGAAGCTTTTACTTCCACTTCCTTAGCCATCATCCCCAGAGCAAATGTGTGGTTATTTCTACAGTATAAACTGACTGATCTAAACTGTTAACAGTGGCTATTTTGGGGTAAGATGATAAATAAAAATCACCTTTTTATTCTTTGTTAGTTTCCAAATACTTCAAATCAAAAAAGAATTTACAAAAAAGAATAAAGTCACATTCTAAGACTCAGAAATTTTAAAACGCTATTTCAACAGATACACAGTGAAAAACTTATGATCCTAAAATCCTGCAGTATCTTCTGAAAAATAAACAAGCAAACGTACATACCCATGTCAGTGGAATTTTAATAACTATTTCCTGTATTGCAGTTCTTAAAAAAAAAATCAGTGGTTCATATATAGTATCCAGGGTAACCCTATTACTGAATAGGCAGGGTATTTTCTGATTAACTAGAAGTTCATTGTTTTTCATTGTTTTTCAGTAGCCGGTAATAACTTTATGCTCAAAATAGAACTTTCAATTACAAAACAAAAGTGACATGATCAATGTACTTCAATATATTTGAAACACCAAATATAATTTTTAAAAATTCTTACCTAAACCTTTTTGTCCTGGATTCTTCGCAAAATTAAAAGTAAACTGGTAGAAATCCTTAAATCGTCCCGGTTCTTTCAATTCTTGCTCCATCTTGGGTATCTGGGCCTTTAGTTTTTCTATGCTGTCACATCTATACAAAATTAAGTTTATAAAAGATAAGCTTTTTCTTTATAAATCAAAAACTTATTTATTCCTATAAGTTTATTTCATAGAACTCTTTTTAAAAATCCATTAAAATTTCATCTTTTTAAATTACATAAATAGTATGGGATTAGCTGGAAGAAGAAAAGTTCTGTTAGCAATAATCACTATTTTTAAGAGAAACAGGCTATGACTTTTAATTATGTATTCATGGGACTGTCAATACACCCAAATGGCAGAAGTCAGCTGTAGTGAACAGATGAGAATGTATTAATCAGCTTTGCAATCATCAGTTTAAACTGTAGTAGCATTCCTTACATGGTAACAAATCACAGGTCTAGCTTCAAACAAATTGAAAGCACAGTCTCTTGGTTAGGCGAGGAAACAGGCATTCCTCTTGAAAACTTCTCATTATATTCAAAGTACCATCTCCAACTGAAGTTATCTCAAATCAGTACTAAGCTTTTTTCTATATCTGAAACCATTCAATTTCCAAGGAGCTTAAATGGGTTCAAGTACCAAGTCTTACTTTCCTTAAGGTAAAAATCTTCTGTTATAGATTCCACAAACCAATCACTATACTTTTTTTCCTTCAAATCATTTTTGCTTTTGTTTTCCTTTCATGGTCTTTATTATAACACCTCCCAAATTATTAGTTTGTAAATTAAAATTCTGCTTTGGAAGTTCATTACATTTTACATTAACTCACTTTTAAATGAGGGGAAAAAAGAGTTCCAGTGAAACCAGTATAGAAAACTCCAGCAAATTCAGGATAAGGCTGGCTTTGGCTATAAAACACAGTGTCGAGACGAGATATTAATTTATTGTTTCTCAGCTTTAAATTCACCCTTCTTTGCCCTACTTTGTGACTGTTTGCAGTGGACTACAAATTGTGAGACTTCATTTTTTTCTCACCAGCGGGCTCACCACTAGGTTCTACCAACAGAGGGCGATGAAACGCTGGAAGCGGAGGAAGGAATTTTTCCCAGCCCAGCCTGTTTCCTGCAGAGAGCGAGGGTGTCAGTGTACTGGGAGGTCCTAGCAGTGTTCACCAGTGGTGGCAACTTGCATGGCTCTGCAGCAAGTGACCCTTAGAGCTAGCTTCTTCTCCATCAGAGAAGCAGGCACAATGCTCCAGAAGTAGCCAGGCACTGTCTTCCAAGGTCAGAATCTTAGCCTTGTGGGGATCCTCTTAAGTTTCCAGGTTCCTTCCTTTTTTCTTTCCCTCAGCTCCAGGGGTGGTAACAACTTCTTACAGCTGCCACCTTTGTTATACTTAGAATTTTCTTTTACCCCATTTACACAATATAACAATTTCTAAAATTTACCCTGTTCAAATCGCTGGTATGGTTTGTGTCCAGTCTGGACCCTGACTGATACCAATGTCCTGCAGGCTCAAGAGTCAGAATGACTGAACTCAAATCCTGCCTTTACTACTACTTAACTCTCTAGTTTCTCTCTACCTCTATTTCCTCATCTCTAAAATGCGCGTATAACCACCACTACAATCATAAAGCTACTGTGAAGCTTTACTGTGAAGTACTTACTTAGCATAGTTCCTGAAATGAGTGTTCAACAAATGTTCAGTTTTTATTATTCAAAAGAACTCACTAAAAACACTAAGGACAGCCTGTCACTGATCACAGACTGAATACTTTCAGAGCCTCATTAAATGCAGACAACCAGTGGCCACAGGTAAAACCTCTATCTATGACTTTTCAATCTATCTATACCAAGACATTTAGCTAATCAGTTGTCAAGGTTTGTGTAGAACAAAAAGTAATTAGTAACTTATAAGATTTTTAAATTGTAGGAGCTTGTTTACAAATTCAGAGTTTACCACCTCACATTAGGAAATAACTTAAAACTTGCTCACTTCACTTACCCACATAGAATATTAAAGCACAGTAATTTTAATACTATGAACCTCCCTCAGAAACTAATGATAAAAGCATAAAGCAAACAGAACAGAACAGGTTGCACTAACTACACAGATAACTTGACATGGGAAGGAACTAGCATATTAGTCCATTTCTATTTACAGCAATGTCTGGGGCACAGATATCAGTTCCACAGTGACTCTTATAGCAGTGCACCTGATTTCATATGAAGATTACACACGCACCCTAATTCTGTCATGCCATCCATGAATTCCTGTTTGGAGAACTCGCACTGTGTTGCTGCTCTGAACTTCCACGCGATGATTAACACACTGATGCTGGCTGGATCGAGGGCCAGGTCATCACAGAACTGCTGTATACCATCTATTCCAATTTTATTTTCATCTTGAGGATCTTTAAAAACACCAGTACAATATGAAATTAGTGCCATACTTTCTAAGCTACTCCTAAAACTGAAAAAAGGAACGCTTTCTGTTCCATATTTTAAAATGATCACAAGAGACCAAAAATATGAAGAAATACTGCTTTAACTGTTATTTTCCCCCTGTAATATTTAAAGCCACTTTGCCCCTGAAACAGCATTCTTAAACAGCAGGATAGGCACTAGATAGGACATGGTTTTTTAAAAGTCTCATTTATTCATATGAAAAAAGTCCCACACTTACACACCATCAGAAAATCTGACATTCCTATACAGGGAAAAAGGATTTTTACTGAACATATCCACATTTAACAAAGGCACTCTAAACAGTATTATATACAGAAATTCTTTTCTCCTTGAAGTTTAATTTCATTATAGAAATCACTTCTTAGAGAACATCAGAAAAACCAAACTGTGTGATTCAATTCTAATCACAAGACAAACATCTGCTATTCAAATTAAAGAAAAACCCCAACTATCAAAATTTACTTTTCAGACAGCAAAAATTTAGATACAAATACAAGGAGAAAGAAGTACTCATACACTTGTCAAATAAAAAAATGCACACATCCTTTGACTTTGGGGCAAGAGCTATGTATAAAATATCAATATAATCCCACCTTTGGAAAAACTTTGAAATAATTCTATATATATATTTCTGCATAAAAGACACAGAAAGTTGGACACCAGGCTCTTAAATATTGGTTCTCTCAGGAGAATAAGTAAAAGACATAGAAACTATTGACTTTTTCTTTATTCAATCTATTATGTATTGTTTAACTTTTTAAAAGTATATATTACTTTATAATTATTTAAACATTATTAAAATTATTAGGCAGGTTTCCTTAAAATTGGCTCAGCTGAGTTTTATGAAAATGAGGGAAAAAACCTAGTCCCCATTCTCAAACTGGGTAACAGAGGAGGAAAAAAGGAGGCAAATAAAGGGTAAGGAAATAAACACACTAAGAAGAAATTTTAGTGAAAAGAGGGAAATAATTTTTCAGATTTCTTAAATTAACTCTAAGATCTAAAGAGCTCTGTTAGACACATCCACCCAATTAATGTCCTCTGTATTCTTTGATTTCTCACAAGAAGCATGTAACTCTGGAAAACATGGTTCAAAATATTTAAAGTCACAAGCAAACACTCACCTTTATATCTACTGTATAGTTGTTCTAACTTCTTCCTGTCCAATGATCCTTTTACACTCTCTCGTATATAAAGCTCAGGATTTTGAAAAAAATTGTCTGTTGCAACATCTAACTTCCAGTCATTTTGAGACAGACAACTTACTGCTGTTTTTTCACTAGATTGTGTGAAGATCATAAACTGACGAACTTTATCCTTCTGCGATGATTTCAACTTGTTCTATTGAAACCAGAAAATAAACTGAAACTTTGTAACATCACAAAAGACTAAGCATTTCTATACTGCTTACTAAATCATTTTTAGCAATACACGTGCCTCATAAAATAACATTTAGCTTAATGTTTTGATCTATTAATAAGGAAAATTTTTTAAAAATCTAAAACACAAAATCGCTATCATTTTGGAAAAGCAACTAGGACAGAGGCAAAAGAAGTTCACCCACCCTGCATTTCTCCTAAAAGTGGGTCCTGTGAGCATGTATAAAGGCTCTAGGAGGGAAGCAGAGCTAACTCTCAAAACATTAACCAAGCACAAAGTTCCAAGGGATGCTTAAGGAGTGGTGGGGAAGATGGTATTATTTAAGCCAGTCAGAACATTCAAGTGACCCTGAGGAACAATGAGATTAACAGATATTGTTGCAGTCCTAAAACACATTGTAAAGGATATGGGGTACAATTCTCCCGAACCTCACCACCCACCCTACTCACCCCCGACCCTGGTTTTCTTGCTATCTTTACCAAATGTGACAAGCAACAGGATATGAGGTACTCTACATTTCTCCTTACAGGGGTCAGGAACCAAGATAATTATCAAGAGAATTTCCTCGTATTTTCAATCAAACCAGAAGCAGTGAAATATGAACAAGTACCCTGCATCCTCCCAACCAAGGTAATCTTTAATAGAATTCTCCTTCTTTCACCGTGAAACAAATTACCTCTTTCCCTTGACCTGAGCCTAGGAGACATTCTCTCGAGCCAGACTCTACTGTAATAACCTTCTCTCACTGGCCTTGTGTTGACACATACTCATTTCTCATCTGCCCTGAGTCCTAAGCAAAATAAAGTAGGGCAGTTAGGCCCTCCACTGTCTCCCAGTTTCAAGGGCCACATTCTTTGACTCCTCATGCAAGCTGTCTCCTGTGTAATTTCAGCCTCACCACTATTATTCTTCCCTCTCGCAAGTCCTAATACCATCTCTCAGCAAAATACTTGGGTTCTTTCTGAGCTATTATTGCCAATGAAGAGGAAAAAGCATGTGAGTGGGACACACATTAATAGATACAGTGTTCTGTGGTTTAAGCAACACATCTGAGAACCCAAGCATTTTTAATCTGGCCCAGACAGACAGATCACAAACCTCAACCCCCTGATTGTACAGATGAGAGAACAGACCCCAAATGTTAAGGAATTTGTTAAAAGAAAATCACCCAGGTTATTAGTAGAAATGGGTCAAGAACAGAAAGATCTCATGAATCTGAGTTTTACTAATCTTTCTATAAACCACACTGCTTGCTGTACATACTTATAAATCTTTTGAAGTTTTAAAGAAAAAGACTAATGAAGATATAAATATTTCCACCTTTCACAGAGTAAAAATAAGGCTATGCAAAAATCAAATATGAAAACCAATCCCATCTTTAATACCCTGGAGTCCAATCTGTCAGCCATACTCTTCTCTCTCTGTAAATGTGTTATTGCTTAGGTTTACACATTAAAATCTCAACCTCTGTTCTCCATTAAAATTGAGAAACTATCAATTTACTAGCCTCCTGTTATTTCATAAATCAATCTACCACTTCTGGACACCAGATAACTCATATCCCATTATTTGACACATCTCTCAAATGTCTAGGAGTCCCAACTTGAAAAGTACCTAAAGATGTTGTTCAATTGCAACAAACCCACAATGAAATCGCAGATACCTGTCTTAATATACTGCTGAACTGAAAGGAAACCACTCTGATTTCAACTTTTGCTACTGAAAGCTATTTTTAAAATGAATATACCTTTCTAAGAGATACAATACATGTAAGTGATACGGTATCTAAGAGATGCAGTATATGACATATGTTTTAATCCTCTGAAGAACAGGGAAGTTCCTAAGGGTTATTATGATCACCACTGACCACTGTGTAACACTGCACAAAGTGCTGGACGTTAACCTAGAAGTGTAACAACCACAGGCCACAATCTGGAAATAACTTTTAAATTAAACATTTCCATTTTCCTAAACATTAAGAGGCAGCAAAGCAATCAAAATTATGGGGGGGGGGGATATCATACAGTATTAATTCCCATGTTATTTCCTGAGGCTTGAGTGAGTTTTGAAGAGAGGGAGGAAAAACACAGCTTAAGTCACTTCTGCCAGTCAAAAAGCTGTCCACTGTACTAATGACTTCCTATCAGAAAGCAAGATATTAGAAAATTGGGGGGACAAAGATAAAAAACAGTCCTAGCCATAAAAACTAATAACAATTATATAAGTGAATTAACTCCATTTCATATCTTACTTGAAATAAAAGTATAAATAATGTCCATGTATATGCAAACAAATTATTTTAATGGGTTTAAATTTCCAGTATATGGAGCAATATATTTTAAGAAAAAGGGCTGCAGCTAGCCATTTCCAATACCACAGAGGCTAATGAGTGATACCTCACTGAGAACTGACAGTATGAGTTTCTGCTAGGCCAAGTCGTAATGAGCAATTCCATTGTGCAAAGTCTGATGAGCATCCTCCCTTTTCTTGTCCTTTTAATGCACTCTGACCGTTCCTCTGTCAGCTCTCTGTGCCTAGAATAAATCTTAACACTTGCTCTCTTACTAGGGAGCCATGTATTCAATTCTGTAGTCCCAAAGGCTGCCTAGAGGAAGCTGGAGTGGGCTACACAGAGCCACCCTTTCCCCAAGCCTATTTAGGAGAGCTACAACACACCCATCCCCTTTTCCCAGGCCACAAGGGGGCATCAGGCAAGGAGTTCTGATTTTGACAGTACAGCTCAAAGGTTTAAATTTCTATCAACTTGAGAAAGAGGAAAAGGGTATTTAGACAGCAAAGAAGTATTTTATAAGGGATGAGAAAGTGGACAGAAAACTGAGGTGGAAGAAAAAACAGATGGAGTGTCTCTATTTCTACTACAAACCCAGTGGGTATCTTCCTAACAGCAAAAACATATGACAACTACAATGATTCAGCACTCAAATGTAGTACATGCTATTTAAGACTTACTTAAAAGGAACAAACTAGGGTGATCATTAAACAAGATTAAGCAATACAATCTTTAGGACTCAAGTGTGAAAACTATCTAGAGATTATCAAATTTTCAAGGAAATTCAATATTGGCGAAGTATGTAAAATGTATAAAATACAGAATATACCCTAATTATTATGGCATCCAGTCCCATCACTTCATGGCAAAAAGATGGGGAAACAACGGAAACCGTGACAGACTTTATTTCGGAGGACTCCAAAATCACTGCAGATGGTGACTGCAGCTATGAAATTAAAAGATGCTTGCTCCTTGGAAGAAAAGCTATGAAAACCTAGATAGCATATTAAAAAGCAGACATTACTTCACCAACTAAGGTCCATCAGTCAAAGCTATGGTTTTTCCAGTAGTCATGCACGGATGTGAGAGTTGGACCATAAAGAAAACTGAATGCCAAAGAATTGATGCTTTTGATCTGTGGTGTTGGAGAAGACTCTTGAGAGTCCCTTGGACTGCACGGAGATCAAACCAGTCCATCCTAAAGGAAATCAGTCCTGAACATTGATTGGAAGGACTGATGCTGAAGCTAAAACTCCAATACTCTGACCACATGATGCAAAGAACCAATTCACTGGAAAAGACCCTGATGCTGGGAAAGATCAAAGGCAGGAGGAGAAGGGGACAACAGAGGATGAGATGGTTGGATGGCATCACCGACGTGATGGACATGAGTTTGAGTAGGCTCCGGGAGCTGGTGATGGACAGGGAAGCCTGGTATGCTGCTGTCCATGGGATCATAAAGAGTTGGACATGACTGAGCGACTGAACTGAACTGACCCAAATTATTTCTAATTCTAGCAAAACAAAGGGGAAAGAGAGAGGAAGGAAGAGAGGGAGGGAGAAAAAGAAACACTATGTCTTGTAATAGAAAGCTAATAACAATTATATCAAAGATTACTGAAGTTAGAAATACTATAATCTGAACAGTAAAAAGCATCTACTTACTCATCTTTCCAAAATTAAAAAAATGTGGTTATCAGTATATATTGTTTAATACTTAAATCTAGCTGATGTTTGCGATTTTTTTTTTCCACTCAAGAACTTTGGAATTTACATTTAAAATAACAGTTTATCTGGGACAAAAAAAAAAAAAAATCAGACAAATACTTTGGACATAGCCAAGTATCATATAGCCAAGTGAATGAACTTAACAGTCTATTGCAATAGAAAAATTGGGACTCAAAAAAGCTCTAAAACAAAAAATGATAATAAAGTTACAAAAGTACTTCCATCAAGAAAAACACTGAACATGGAAAATTATTTTCTAGGTAACAATTTCAAAATAAAAATAATTTTAATAGGTGGCATTTTTAAAACAAAAAATTAAGATTTTATTATTTCTATAATTCTGAATAGAATCTCACCCTTAAATTTCAATCTCTCACCCTTTAAGTTTAAAATTCAGTCTAAACTCCAGAAAGACAGACACCAAGGCCTTTCATATTTTTTAAGAATTAATTTTCTAACTCAATTCTAGTTATCTCAGGATTTGATGAATCTTAGCTCACAAAAGACAATGTTTTAAAAATTCAAACACTGTAATGATCACCCATAATTTTCATTAAAAGCTCTGGATGTGGTTCTCATGTGTTTACCATATAATTAACAGTTTAACTTCATCTGAAATTTAGAAGAGCTGGTGTAAGTCCAGAAAAATCATACTTTCTATATATGATACATAGTATCCAGCAGATATAGCCAAATGTTACCAACATCCCAAACCACTCATCTATAAAAAGGCCTTCTCACAGATTGTAGGTCTGAAATCAAAAGTAGAAGAAAAATCAATTCAACTAACCAGACTACTTTCTATTCCCAGAGAAGACTTTCACCTAGGGGCAAAGTTCTATCAGAAAGCCAGGCTAAGAATCTAGGTAGGAGTCACTAGAAATTCTCTTCCCTTCTACCTGCAACAGAGAGGTAAAGAATGCAGACTGTCAAATCAGACTGG